CTGAATCTGCTTATTTATCTTTCTCCTTGCTATCTAGATAGATAAAAAAGACAGATTACGGTAAAGAATGAAAAACAAACACATAGTTGAACACATAGAAATAAAGAAACTAGTAAAGAGACATGCACATATAAAGAAAAACGAATTGGAATTCCTTATGCTAAACGGCCTGTTCAGAGACCCGTAGGGATTAGATACAGATGTTATTAACTATTAACTACTGACCAGAAGAAAAGCAGCCAGTTAGCAGCACCTATCACCACAAGGGCTCGGTCCTAATTTATAAACCAAATAAGGGTATTGACTGTCATTTTTATAACTCACACACAGTTCAAAGTATGGAGAGTTTTCACGGCATCGCGGCTCGAATCTTGGACACTTCGATCCAAAGCCTGACTATCTAACCAATGGGTCACACCCAGTCCTATATAAAGAGAGAGAAAGACAAAAGACGGAAAGAGAAACATATAGAGTGAAAATTTTAGGTTACTCTGACTGGAAAGTTAGCTATTAACTAGGGTCACGACGTGAAAGTTAGCTATTAACTAGGGTCACGACATGAAAGTTAGCTATTAACTAGGGTCACGACGTGAAAGTTAGTTATTAACTAGGGTCACGACATGAAAGTTAGCTATTAACTAGGGTCACATTCTAAAGGTTCCAAAACGTTAAAAAAATAAAGTTACATATTCTTATAGTATGGTGGTTTATTCGTTATGTCATTCAATTTATGTGTTATTAAATAGAACTGTTCAGAAGGAATTGTGTTGTCATTCACAAAGCTTTCAAGCTATGTCTCTGTTTGAGATTCTTATAAAAAAACAACATCAAATAGCAAAATTACGTGATCCACTTTCATTAGTTTCCAAATAATTTTCATAACTAAATTGCATTAAACATTTCTTAACCTTTTTACCCAGTTATTTCGGAAGTACATATCGGTTGATATTTTAAAGTCACAAAGTTAAAAGATGCATTTACTGCAAACTATCGCAGTTTCTGTCCTTGTAAACTATTTTAATTCAGAGTTTAGGTTAACAAAATACTTGAAAGTCGCAGAGAATCCATTAGGATATACCTCACAGCTAATTATCTATCTAAAACTTTCTAAATATGAGCATTTAGGTTGAGAGCTACAAATCATTTTTAGCTTTGTTTACTATCGAGGGTAGTCTTATAATTGGTTGCCCTTCATAAATATCTTCTGTGGGGTTTGTTTTAAAATTTCTCGCAAAGCTATATAACGACTATCTGCATATAAAAGTCTCTAATTTTAACTAATACGCTAGAAGGTTTGTTTGAAGTTAAGCACAAAGCTACACAATGGGCTATCTGTGATCTGCCTGCCATGGGTATCGAAACCCGGTTTCTAGCCTTGTAAATCCGTGGACATACGGCTGTGCCACTGGGGAGCACACTAGAAGGAAGACAACTATTCAACAGTACCCACCGCCATCTATCGCCTGAGAGAATAGTGGATGTAACCGTCACTGTCATAGTGCACCTATATTTTAAAGTACGAAGCGAGCGCGGTTTTGCAACAATAGGACACGAACCAAAAATGCTTGATTCACAATTTAGGCAAAGTAACCACTAGCCCACGCCAGGCCTGCGAGAAACACACAAGTCGATCATATAAAGAGTTGTTAGAAACACACAAGTTGATCATATAAAGAGTTGTTAGAAACACACAAATCGATCATATATAGAGTTATTAGAAACACACAAGTCGATCATAAAGAGTTGTTAGAAAAACACAGTCGATCATATAAAAAATATTAAAGAGTTGTTAGAAACACACAAGGCGATCCTAAAGACTAGTAAAGAGTTGTTAGAAACACACAAGTCGATCGTATAAAGACTAGTAAAGAGTTGTTAGAAGCACACAAGGCGATCCTAAAGACTAGTAAAGAGTTGTTAGAAGCACACAAGTCGATCGTATGAAGACTAGTAAAGAGTTGTTAGAAACACACAAGTCGATCGTATGAAGACTAGTAAAGAGTTGTTAGAAACACACAAGTCGATCGTATAAAGACTAGTAAAGAGTTGTTAGAAGCACACAAGTCGATCTTAAAGACTAGTAAAGAGTTGTTAGAAACACACAAGTCGATCGTATGAAGACTAGTAAAGAGTTGTTAAAAGCACACAAGGCGATCCTAAAGATTAGTAAAGAGTTGTTAGAAGCACACAAATTGATCGTATAAAGACTAGTAAAGAGTTGTTAGAAACACACAAGTCGATCGTATAAAGACTAGTAAAGAGTTGTGAGAAACACACAAGTCGATCGTATAAAGACTAGTAAAGAGTTGTTAG